TTATGAACATTATCAAAAGACGGCGATATATTTACAGTAAAACTCTGTTAACATCCACGAATTAAAATGCTTTCTTCTTACTAAAAATAAAAGTCCATTTTAGAACCAAGAAATTTAATTTCGACCATTTTTAATAGAGGGAAATGGTTTGGAAACCATTTGTTGTACTTCTTTTGTATGTATTTTATCGAGGTTGAATCAGTCAACACTGTGCACAACTTTTTTCTTACGATGAAAATTTCAAAATTAGTGGACATAAACACTCTCTATGAGATTATGAAATGAAATGTTTTAATATTGGTTAATAATTTTTGTGCATATTGAAGAAATATAGCCATAAGAATAATTTTCGCTCTGTTCATTCAGATGTGACCAGTATGGCTAAAACAATACTTAAACAAAAGATTGTGCACAGTCACGCTTGGAAAAAAAGTGCACAAAAACCTACAACAAAAGGCTTCCTAACCATTTCCCTCGACACTGGTGAAAAACGCACTGCGCATGTCCACAGCTTTCCCGCTGAAATCTGCCTAATTTCCTTTGTAAAGCGATTTTTGTGAAAGTTTTTTACAATTTATAAGCTCGTTCACCGATATATAAGATTCATATTTCCATCAATCATTGTTCGTGATAGGTCCTTTTAGTATGTAGTTTCTATCTTTTATCTTGTCATTTCTATTTTGAGAAAATGAGGTTTTTCGTAGTGTTTTCTGTGTTGTCGCTGTAAATCGCCAGGCGCTCTGTTTACAGATTTCAAGACGCGAGCGCCCACTGGCGGGAAAGCTGTGGGCATGCGCAGTGCGTTTTTCACCAGTGTCATTTCCCTCTACAAACTGTGTTTCAACTTACAATCCTTTATACAAAAATCGGTTTCAGGCTGACTTAGGTTCTGATACGCGAGGTTTCGGTGTACAATAGTTCACTTATTGATGTTTTATTATTCCAGGATAAAAGTAAACAAAATGCTTCTTCTAGAGCAAAACCTAAAGCGACAAGTCAAAATACATCTGTAGCGCAAAGAACAAGATCAAGAAGACAGACCACAAGTAACCAGTAATTGTACAATTAATCTGAATAGTTTTAGTAATAATTTTCACTGTGATATTATGTAGGGTGCACTTAATTGATAATAAAGCTTTATTCGCTTCAACAGCAATTGGTTTGTTTCGTAAGTTTTCGAGTGTAAACASTTAAAAGCGTGAAAAGATACTATGAGCTCATTAAACCCGTGAAATAGACATTACACTTATACACCGTAGCAATCTGTAATTGCATTGTTTTCTTTTGTGTCTATTTGACTATCACACTTTAATAGCAAGTTTTTGTTTCACGGRTTTTGAGTGAAGTTTTAAATCCGTGAAACAAAATTTGAGTATTTTAGTGTTATACTCAAATAGACACAAAAGAAAACAGTGCAATTAGAGCGTACCAAGGGGTATTAGTGTAATATCTAATTCACGGGTTTTTTGACTTCATTCTAATGACTTCATTCTAATGACTCCATTCCAAAAGCGTGAAAAAGTACTGAGCAAATAGCGCTAAATATCGCAATATAGTGTAGATTCTACAATAAAAAATAAAAAGGAATTCACAAAATTCAGTACAATTCAGCACTATGAATTATTTTAATAAAAAAAATTTCGTGGTTTTAGTGTTTGCACACTCCGTTTGAGAGAGAATTTTATTTGTACTCTTTGATATTATCTACTTATTTTATTTGCTCTTTCCCTTAGATATTTGGATACATTTTAACCACTAACGTATATAAATATATAAATTATTTTACGTGTAAAAAATCGGATTTATACGGGGATTTTTGATACGAAGCACGCGATTGATAAAGTACAAAAAAAACAAGGATGRAAATATTAACTTCATTGATAATGTTAACATTCATGATTTAAATCTGTTGAAAACTTATTTCTATTGCGTGAAATGTTTATCTGACATTTTAAGAATTATTTTCATTTATGTTTGACTCGATTACATATACAGCAAATGTTCAACCTCGTTCAACTTCCTTCCTCAATACTCAATTGTTATGGAATGTAACAACTATCCAGTCATCTATCCAGCCACCTTCCACCACCTGCTCCACAATCGCATTCGGTTCTAGTTCTTCATTCGTTTCTTCATGAGATTTTTTGTTGTATCATATTTCAGTTTGGGTATTCTTAAAAATAATTCATTTGTTCATAAGCGTCGGTTTTCCTGCATTTTAATTAAAATTATTTCTTGTTTACAATAAAATGGCAAGAGTATTTTTAATCTTAAAGAAGATTTCTTTTTCAAATGATTTTTTTCATATGTTGCATTTCTAAATTAATTTTTGGCTTTTTTAATTGCTGTTTTTTCTGCATCGCAAACTACCTGCGGCGACATTTAAATTTGTGAAGATGAAAAGTTTGCGATTTTTTCAATTCGAAAGATTAAAACTGATATTGATTTTTTTCACCTATTGAAAATTATTTCTGCCTTTTTTT